CTTTGCGCTAAACTACCATCACTATAGGGAAAGAGAGTAGTCAATTCAAAGTGCTATCCTTCGAAGGATGAGCAAGGTGCCGCTCATTGGTGAGTTGTTCCTTTATCAGCACCAGACCAGATTAGCTCATGAAGTCCTCTTGTAGATAACCATGACGACAACGATGACTAACGTCGATTGCAATAATTCTATCTGCCAATACAGTGTGTATATCGTTTTGGATACTGTATGGTATATTAACTATCTTATACATTCACAGATCACTCTAATATTAGCTAGCATTAGTAACATCCACCCGCTCCCTAGGCTGAAGTATTCTCGTAGTAGGTCAGTACTGCTATATATCCGGAGCAGCACTGATGACCCTCCACCAGAGTCCATTGAAACTAATCAGACCTTCTCTAATACTCATATGGATTTTATTTCTTTGAAATCCTCTGCTCATTTCATCAATTCAGTCCCAGAATAGCTTTGTGGTATAGTACCGTCTCTGACATCCTTGTAATTAGTTCTGGCAAAATATATATCAATATTTTATACATTTATTACTATCTATTGGAGGCGAAATTGAATTAAATAATAAATAACAGTTAATTAAATCGCTCTATACTGCCCTATCGAGGCTATAAGCCCTATGATTTCTAGCATAGCTGTGCATAGTGCCTGCGACCGCTATCCTAGCAGAACGCTAGGCAATTTTCAGGTGCGCTACGGATGCTACCATAGTGTACATAAATTACAGAGGCTATGGTCGCTATAGTCGCTATATATAGCCTCTTTAGCATTTTGCCAGGTTTCCTGATGCTATATTTCATACCGTTCCTAGCTAACCTTCCTCCACCGCTTTAATACTAATCAAACCCTAGTTACCTTCACCGATTCCATCTGATCTCTCACCAACTTCGCCGTGGTCCTATAATCTCAAACATAGCTTGGTTAATATTTGGCGTTCCGTCGTGTACGAGAGACCGGACCGGAGGATCAACGCGAAGAGGAAGCTATTGGGTAGCGTGTATGACTCAAGGTTCTGATGGTGTGAGAGGAGAGGGTCTGGAGGTCTGGTATGTCGAGAACGGTATTGTAGAATGAACGAAAGGTCCAGTCGGAATTGACGCATGAGGACGAGCGCATTGAAGGCGGCTGCTATCGCTGTAAAGGACGATATCGTTCCTTTCTCGTTTTATCCTTCTACGCGGCCGTCAAGATCCTTAACGCGGCATCGAAGGGTGCATAGTGCAGAGTATAGAGCCGAAAGAGAGCTCTGTCGCAGTGTCACACCGGTGAGATGGAGAGAGTAAATTTGGGGTTATGGTGGCCCGTATGAGCGTATATTATATGGAGGAAGGATGCCACAGAAATCGCGTGCGCAGACGTGGTCGAAGAATGAGGATCTCCGATGTCGATGAGGATGCGTAGGATGATGGACGCGATTGGTGAATTGGGTATGCTTTTGGAAGTCATGCTAACCATGGACGATGGGCCTTGAATATTTGAATTCCGGATCTGTGGTGCGGTGGCGATGGTGATGTTGCTTCGGCGCTTTCGGTCGGCAGTCTTCAACCTCCGCCTGCGTCCTCACACAGCCGTAAGGAAAACCATCAACATAACCCTGGTATAACCCGGTATTCTGGACTGAATGGAGGGCGGCTTCCATCTCCGAACGCGTCCGACTGCAAACCAGGTGAACCAGCACTATACCGTTATTCTTGCGTTATTTGTGCGTTATTTCCATTCAGGCCAAACGGACATGCGTCTGTAGCCAATGTATGACGAGCCATCTTTGTAATGTATCAATAAAGGAAGCGAAGGTGAGAATACAGATATCAGTAGGCTTATCCCAAATGTTGATTGATTGATATGTACTGCGCATGGCTGCGTACTCCTCACTAGTTGCTTGATAATCTTTGCTAGGTGATCTATTTACCGTGGAACCGTGACCTACTTCTGTTTGCAGCTTGAGCCTTATTGCAGTCTGGGAGAATACTCCAAACGCAGCTAATCTGAGTCTTGAACCAAGCCAAAACGACACGCTCTTCTCGTGAATATTATGAATCGGATGTCAACCAAATTTTTTTAAAGATTTTGTTGGGCCCTTTGTCAAGGTGCTTAGAGCTTCCGGTGGCGATGTGATTTGATTCTTTTCCAACATGTTAGCTCACCTCAAGTGCTCTATGGTCTCATATATTTAGACCTATATTAAACCAGCGATTCGAGTGGTCTCAATTACCATCTACAAGAGTTGCAACCTCAAGCCACCCTCAATGTCCGACGAAGTCAAAACAATTATCGAGACCCCTCTATCCATATACTTAGGC